ATCAGATAAAAAAGACTAAAAAAATGAAGGCTACGCGAGCAGCTGCATGCCATCTTCCTGGGAAGGTCGCGAGTGACCTTCCGCGCTTTTGGAAGCTATCTCGTGCGGCCAACCGACAGCAGTACATAGAATGCATAGAAATGTCATGTCTCAAAAAAAAAAAAACACTTTCATGTATATGCACGATGGTCTCGAATAAAACTAAAATAAAACTGTTGTTCTTTGAAATAACGGTGAAGCTGCGCGAGTTTGAAGACATTAGTATTCTTTTTGTTGTTTTTTTTTCGTTGCATAAAGTGCACATTAGATTTGTCCTATTCCGACGTGCCTTAGTGCAGTTACTATACAACGCTCCTCCAATACCGATATGGTGAGCGCAGTTTCTGAAATCCATCGTCTGTACATCAGCGGATATACTTACTCGCGCTAGTTATGAGGCAAGCGAACTACTATAAAAGGTAACGTTGAATGAGGCCATTATAGATTTGTACGCACGGGCACACAACGGCCGGCAGGTGCGCTTCCCGGCGAACAATCGCCAAATTAAGCGTACTGACATTTGGCTCAGTAATGGGAAATACAAAGAGGTTAGTTCGACAGGTGCTGTGACATGGCCGAAAAACTCTTGGCGACAGCGGAAACAACAGCGATGAAAAAGTTGTGAGCTGTATAGCATCGAATCGGACGGAGTAGATAGGCACACTGGGTTAACGCCGCACTTCTCCACAACTCTCACCTTGAACAGGCCACCATGATTCGGCAGGAGGAGTCGGTTCTGGTCGCTGCGTCGTGGACACGCTTTCGCCTCTTGTGTCAGAATGTTCGTAGCGCGCGGCTCTTTGCCCTGCGGCTGCTGCGTCGAAGCGGCAGGGACGCGGTGGCGCGCGCGTTCCCTCGGAACTGCAACAGCTGCGGCCGGCCCGAGGTCATGTGACAGGCATCGGCAGAACGCCGCCACAAGGAAGCGTGTGAGAGAGAGGAAGAGAAGACAGCCTGTCTGACATACCATTTCTGAGTCCGTTCATTTCATTTGCTCGTACTTAGATCGATGGTGGCTGAAGACGTGTCTTTGTCTGTGAAGAGGCGCCATGTCACCGGATGTCATGCTTGTGTGAGATGCACAGAATACGACAAACTGTATTCCCAACCTTACAGGACAAAGAAATGCTTAGGGAGTCTTCATGCCGAGGTGTCAGTTAATTAGGGAAAGAAGGATGGCGGGGATAAGGAAGGCGTCAACAAAAATGAGAATGAATCGATGACATGATGCTCAAAACGGCCTGCCCTTGGTCCCCGGCTTTAGGGTTAAATGTGGGTAGTGAATGTGCAGTTCTGGAATGCAACACCAAGGGCCGTGTTATTGCCTTCGCTGTCTCCGTCTCTTGTTGGCAAGGTTGGGGGGGGGGGGGGGGCGTAGTGATTTTAAAGAAGGAGAAAATAAAGAAAAGTGAGCCTCGCAACTGTCTGCAGCTGAGAGCGACAGCTCAGCAGTAGCTTACAAGGGAAGAATTAAAAGCGATAGAGAGAAAAATAAAGTTTGAGAGAAAAAGCAAGTTGGGGACATGGTCGAAGGAGTTCCAGGTCGGGGCACAAATTGGCAAGAGCCACACGGCATCGCGGACAGCGGGTCGATCGGCGAGAGCTACGCCGGCGCCTAGGAGATCACGGACGACACGACCGTTCAGCACGGAAGCCAGCAAGCGAGATAGGCGGTTGTCAAGATATCCACTCTCTCTCGCTGGATTTCGTGCCGACCGGTTGTGCCCTCGCGATCTCCGACGTCAGCGTAGCTCTGGCTGACTGGGCTGGCCCTACGTCATCTACTGACGCCGATCTCCGACGACAGCGTAGCTCTGGCCTACCGGGCTTGCCCTACGCCATCTCCCGACGCCGACAAGAGCTCTCGCAAGTGGTGCCCCGTCCTCGGACTCCTGTGACCGTGTTTCCATTTTTCATATCTCTCCTATCCCTCGATATGCCCTCGCTCGCTGTCGCAGCGTATCTTTCTCTCTATATATACCTTTAATCCTATTCTTTTAATCCCTCCTCACCCCATTTCTTGTGAGCTACTGTTGAGGTGTCGCACCCTGATGCAGACAGTTACGGAGCTCACTTTTCTCTGCTTTTGATTGATTGATATGTGAGGTTTAACGTCCCAAAACCACTATATGATTATGAGAGAGGCCGTAGTGGAGGGCTCCGGAAATTTAGACCACCTGGGGTTCTTTAACGTGCACCCAAATCTGAGCACACGGGCCTACAACATTTTCTCTGCTTTTCCCTCTTAGAACCACTTCAGATGTCCACGAACATGATCAGCCTTGAGAGAGCTGCAGTCCTCTCCTACCCGTTTCTCCTCTCGCCTAGTGAACTCCCTCACCACGCGGGGAATGAAAGGGTGAGGAGAATTACTGACAAGAGCTCCCGCGTCGTTTGTTCATCTATGAGAATGGTTGGCACATGGGCTAGTTGGTGATCTTGCAAGTCGAATGGTTGCAGCTAAATTGAAACGTACGCACGAAGAAAAAAATCTTTGTCCTCGTGTTTCCTCCCTTCTCGCCTACGTTTAAATTTAGCTGCAACCATTGGACACGCTGTTCATCTACGCAGTGAATCGTTTCACTTCGCAATGTCACACCAACTAGCCCCACTGTATGCACTTCTAAGCTTAAAACGATGACGGGACAAAGGAAAGAACAGGAACTCGTCCAACCAAGCTGACCACGTTGAAACTTTTTTGAGAAGGAAAAAAAACACACACGATATAGCCCGTTAAGATTGAGTTGGGATTCATGCTGCATGGTTGTTTTTCTTGCCCGCGTGCACTCGCGTTCCAACAATAAACACCAACTAGCGCAGATTCAAGTTTTTTTGGTGCGTCAGCATTGGCTTGTCCAGGTGGGGGGCGGGAGGGTTCAAACCAGTGGCGTAGCCAGGGAGTAGCGTACCAGACTGTGCTCCCCGCCCTCAAATTTTCAGTCGAGCACATCTGCTTGCCCGGCCTCTACTTGAAACAAAGAAGGTGCACCACCGTAGAAAAGTTTCTACCTACGCTCCTGGTTCAATCCCCCCACCCCCGAAAATTTTCAATCTTGCATAATGCAAATCTTGCACACACAAACACACGAACATACGTGAAACCCCTTCCCCCAGAAAAGAACAAGTTTCTAGCTACGCTACTGAACATCAGCGATCACCAACCGCCACTATAGTAAACGTGTGTGGTCATAACCAAGCACATTGAACAATGATTGCACACATACCTGCTTAATAAAAATATCGGTAAACGTGTGTGGTCATAACCAAGCACATTGAACAATGATTGCACACATACCTGCTTAATAAAAATATCGGCAGACGTATAATGCTTCCCTTATTAGAGGGCCCCTACCACCACGCGCTCAAAGACGGGCGAGTAATCTTCTAAGCCTAAGCTGATATTTGCTCCTCGGCACTTTTATTGAAAGCTCGTGCACAATGTCAGCACTTCGCGTTGAGCCTATCAAGATTTCGTACTGGTCGGCTACACGCTGTTATCTCAGCTTGCGCACTCGGAAACACACAAGTTCTCTTGGCACCTCTCTGTTTGTTCTCAACAACTCTCTGTTTGTTCTAATAGAGGAAACGAGCAAACTTCTTTCCTTCATTCCAAGTGAAGTAAAATCAGCTGATCGCGCACTTAGTCATGCGAGACAAAGAACTGGTGGGCGGCTGCATGGCAAAACTTTGTAGGAGGCAGTTCCCATTTAATATTTCGCATATATGGTCCAATTGAGAGAACGTATCGTATAACCATAGGCGTGCGAGGAAAGGGGGGGGGGGGGCAAGGAGGTTTGCCCCATTTTCTTAAGAGAGGGGGGGGGGGCGCAAAGTCAGCCCCATATATTGACATAATAGCGGTCCCAAAGTGGCCGTGCTTGTGCGCACGCCTAGTGCCTATTGCCGAGGGTGCGATTTGGTGCATAGATGACTCGTCAGAGGCTGCACTGGGGGCGCTTGCGCCGTGTCATGGCTTAATCAGGCTTAATCGAGGCCATCGAGGCGCATGTGCCAGCGCTGTTCCTCTCCTTAATGATTCGTGGTCCATGGTTATGACCATTGAATGTGACTGCGGTGTGCCGCCGTAGTCAGGCTGTTCAAACGCGCTAGCAGTGCAGCTACTAGTGATAAGACCATCTTCGATGCAATTTGGGTCGATTTCATCAGAGCGGCGCAACATCAGGATCGCACGGTAAAAAATTTATACTTTATTCTAAGTTGTATGAGCCCGTACTAATCGATGAACACGGCTCTATCGACTTATTATGGTGCTACTTAAACTTGCCGCGCTGTGCCTATATTACTATTTTTTGTAATGTGCTGACATCTGTTGTTGCTTTTATGAACTGTGCTTGTTGTCAACCATGACTCCCCTCTAGTCGTGGTTGTCAACATTTTTTTTTTTTTAACATAATCTCAGAGATTTCTCATCGCCGAGTCATCGATACGTTTTATATATAAAACTAACATGAGCAATGAAACATGAGCAATGTATGAAATTAAACATAAATAATGTATAAAACTTTTTTGCTTTCTAGTGTTTTAAAATCTCAGAGGCAACGTTATCATGCATGTGCTGAGAGGTTACTAAGTTATTATTTTTAATTTAGCCTAATAAACTCTTTACTTTCATTTATTTTTAAAAACATAAATATGAGCACCACTTATTGCAATACTGAGTTGTGTGACTTACAATTGCTTTTGCTAATATCAGCCGATTAAAAACTCGACCTCAAAGATTTAAGTCTCTTTTGCTTCCTTTAAAAAAATTAAAAAAACGTAATTTGAGAAATATTTTTAGTTTAATTACATAAGAAGTATTGTGTTTTTTTTGTTTTTGTGGGGAAAAGCGGTTGGTGATTATGATCTGGCGTTCCCGTTTTCTTCACGTGTGCACCACAGAACACCACTAGCAGCGCCAGTATTCTAAGAATTATCATCATCATCATGACAAACGTGTGCATGCCGGCTAACGCATGGTAGTTTGATTGGGATTACATGTGTTATTGTCAGCCGTTTATGAAACTCCGTGCACTATTTCACGATGGATGTGCGTAGAAAGCAGTGGCGTAGAGGTCGGCCAAACAAGCGACGGCGTGCTGCAGACAACGATGACGAGCCGGCTTTCGAGAAGGTCCCCCGCCGAAGCATGGCCAACGACAGGCAAAGCGTGCGTGTGCTCCTTCCCGTTAAAACGAGACACGGCGTCATTCAAAAAACTGAGGTCCTCAACAGAAAGGAAGATTCACCTGTAGAATCCGACGAAGCTGATGACGGATCTGCTTCGGGAGAAGACATCGATGAAGTGCACGAAACACCGCCAGTCGCAGAAGAGTCGCCCGAAGACAAAACTCCTCGCACAGCAGTCAAGTCGCTCTCCGACAAGTATCGGCAGCTCCAGCAAGTCAAGCAGCAGATTGGATCTATGGCCAGTGCGATCGTAGAAGACCCACAAGATAAAGTGGGTCATTTTAAGGAGCTCATCGCCTTACTTCGCAACGGAGCGCCCGGCATTTCCCACATCGTGCAGAGGCTGGCAGCACTTACGCTGCTCGAAGTCTTCAAGGATGTCGTGCCGGGCTACGCCATCACTGCACCTACTGCGCACGGTAGCGGACCGAAGCAGAAGCTCAAGAAAGAGACGAGAGCCTTGATAGGTTACGAGGAGGCCTTGCTGCGCTATTACGGCCAGTACGTTGGCTGCTTGCGGAAGATATTGGCGCGACATCTGAAAAGGCTCAAGTCTGCCCAAAGCGTTCTGCGTCTCCGTCTTTCAACGGCACTGGCCCAAGTAGCGGCTCGCTGTGTGTGTGGTCTGCTGTTGGCCCACCCCCACTTCAATCTGCGTGGACAGCTTATCGAATTGGCCGTCCATTGCCTGGGAAGTTCCGACGACAAGATGTCGCTGACAGCGTGTCAGGCACTCCGCCAGTTGTACCGCCAGGACCGGCTGGGAGAGAGCACGTTGGATGCTGTCAAACGTACCAGGGCACTTCTAAAGGCCAGGGGTCTTCAGGCAAGTGTTGCAAGCTGTCTCCGGCATAGCTAGTCACCCCTGGGATTTTTTTTTTTTTTTCAATTTTGCGAGAACATAAGTATGGTTGACCTTTCCCCTCAAGAAATTTTCTTGGTATGCCACTGGCCTCTCATGCGATGTATGGGAAATGTCGCCTATGCTTCGTGGCTTTAATTAGCATGCAACTTACCTCCAACACAATCGTCCAGTGCATAATGTTGTCATTTATGATACTCAGACTCTGTGAAGACGTGGCCTTTTGGGTGCACTATTTCGGGGAATGCAGGGAAAGAATTTTGATGACATTTCCTCCATAAGGCGTTATTAGGGAGGGACCATTTAATTCGGAATTACTTTTGTGCTTAAGATTTAACAAAGTGAGTAGTCGGTTGTCCATAAGCAAAAGTTATTTCTTGTGAGAACAACTGCAGAACTAACGAAACATTTTTCCATCATATAAGTGGCACACCTTAATTATCTCCCAGGTTGTCTTAGTCTAAGTCTCTGTAACTGCAAATTACTGTACAGAACTCTGTGTAACTTTTCTGAATTCAACATGCGCTGCAGGTGCACCCCCGCGTTCTGGAGCCATTCCTGTCGCTGCGTCTGCGGGAGCCCAAGGCAGCAGACCAGGGCCACAATATTGACCTGAAGAAAGTGCGCGAGGGTCTGCGGAAAATGTCCCGCAAGGAGCACCGACAGCACAAGCGCATGCGTCGTCTGGAATCTCAGCTTCGCGAGACTGAGGCACAGGAAAGTGATGTCCGTAAGGATCGCCTCCAAGGAGAGATACTGCAGCAACTTCTTTGGACATACGCCCACGTTCTTAAACAGGTGCCTCAAAGGCCAGAATTGAAGCCTCTGCTTCGTCCAGTATTCAAAGGTCTCGCTCAATATGCACACCTGGTCAATCTCGACTTCCTGGAGGACATTCTAGATGCGCTAGGCACCCTGCTGAACTTGCTAGGCTCCAGAGACGCACCATGCTGCTTGCAAGCGGCATTTGCACTCTTGTCAGGGCAAGGCCAAGCCCTCACAGTCGACCCCCAGCGATTCTATGTCGCACTGTTCCGGTGTTTGTTAGAAAGCCCTCCCGCAAGTGCTCGGACGCTGCTGCTTTGTTGGCGGATGATGGTGGTGAACCGCTGCCGAAGTCTGTCGGTGTACCGGCTCAAGGCTTTGTGCAAACGGTTTGCAACACTGTGTATCAATCACGCTAACTCACTTGGCCTGACCCTGTCGCTCGGCACACTGTTGAGAAGCGAACCGCGGTTGCATGGACTGTTGGAGGTAGCGGACTCTCAGACAATATTTCGCCCAATGCTTGGAGACCCTGACCATGCCGGTTGTGCACCACTTTGGGAGCTGCACGTGCTAAGAAAGCATTACGACCCCTCGACGGCTGCTGTTGCCAAGGCAGTTGCCTCGTCCAATCGAATTCCACCGGCGCTTGCCAGCCTCGATCCTGTTCGTGTGGCAGGCAAGCGCACTGATCCACTTGTGGCATTCTCCGCATGTGGGTCAAAGGCTAACAAAAAGCATGGAGTTAAAAAAGACATGGTCCAGAAACAGAACCGAAGGCTTGCTAAAGGTGCTGTGCACAACAAAAGACAATAAATAAAGGTACAATTGTGTACTGTGTTTAATCTGTGTAGTCATTCATGAGAAAATGATAGATAAATGCTGCGCTCTTGCGTTCATCAGTGTCTCGCCGTGCGTCCCATGAGGATGAGCCGAGTTCTGTTGAGTGCTGGCCTTTGGGCCTCAAGAGAACAGGGCCAAATACATTTGCTGCAAAAAAATAAAGAGAGGGATGTTATAATCAAGTTAGTATTTATTTCTCAGTCTTGCATATAGTCGCAGTCTACGATACTCACACAAGGGACTCAATTTAAATTAAACTAAGGTAGAGAAAAGTATGCTCAGTTTAGTGGTCACTTTAATGACAAAATTCAGTCTCCAGGCAGGGAAGAACTCTTTCATTTGTCCTAAAGTAAGTGGAAACAAAACTATTCCTCAAAAGCTGCTCATTACCAAAGAACCTTGAGAAACTATTGCATTTATGTCTTGCAAGGCTATTCACTTGTTCCCTGCTGTAACTGCCAGTCATAAACAAGTCTAAAAGCACTTTCCAATTAATGTGAAAACAAGAGCAACCTTAACAAGCATCCTTGCATGCGCTTACACTTGCCTTGGCACCATAACGACCCAAGTGAGCTCCTTACGAAGACACTGTTCCAGGTACACCTATTAGGTGGCTGCCAGTTTGACAGCCACTGTTTGTGCAGACCTACCCAGAAGCTTGGCATCCAGCTTGTTTTCTGCGGTGTGCGCGAGTAGCTCTTTCAGGAAGCAGACCAGGTAGAGAAATGTGTGCTTGTGCACTTCTGGCACCATTTGAGAAACAACCTGCACAGATATGTGGTCCGGTGAGATAGTAGTACCAGTAAAAAGCACAAGCTATATGCACTACCAATATCCATTGGTTTGATTTATTTAATTCAAAGCTAGATCGAAGTCCAATACAAGTATAAAATGATTTTTGTTTTTCGAGAACCTTGTTGTTTGTGCATTAACTTCGTTCAATAACTCTTACAGCATTAAAACGTGTACCTTACGCTGTTGAAATTGTTAACTTAAAAGCAGCGTAAATTTGCTGGCTATAAAGGTAAATGTTAAATGAAGAACTGTTATACAATTTTAATGATGCTATGAATGCTATTCTTGAATAAATTAGACGTATGTTCAACTTCCCAAGGCAGCCCATGGACTAAATAAAGACGCTAGTAATGGGTTCAAGTTTTATTCACTATTGCCTTAGGTACATTGCACAAGAGTTTTTGCTTTCAAAGTTTATTAGAAAGCAGCTGCCCCAGCCGGGAATCAAACTTGTAACATTGCACTCAGCGGCACAATGGTATAGCCAGTATGACATCGTTTGCAAAATGTTTGTTAATGGCTAACACTAAGTTCTATTTGCACCTACTTTGTGCTTTATTTTACACAGTAAGAGAATAGTGTTATAAAATTTTATATCTTGTTTTTTTCTGTTGCAATAGGCAGCCAATGACTCGTTACAGCTGGGAACCTCATTTGCTGAAGTCCAGCAATCATTGTGATATTTTTATAGCGCACAATCACAGTTTTGGTTTCAGAGAGAGGCAGAACTTAGCATGACTTGTTTTTAAACACAGCTGACCAAATGAGTGCACTAAACATTGATGCACTAACAATGCACATTGTGTGCATATGAGCACTGTGTTGACAACAGTGGCAGAGAGCGCATGCAAGGACCAGGGCAGTAAGCCCAAACTCGAGACGTTGGTGGTGGTTCCTTTTTTGCAAAACAGGTTGATGCCAATGTTGTGCCTCTAGCAGCTTCCTTTCACATACATCTGCATGGCGCACACTTTAAAATTGATATTAGGCATGTTATAGGCTATATTGGCCATTGATATATTGTAGATGTGAACGTCCACACTAATCTATTTCAAAAGTTATTGCACCTTCAACATTTTGTGTCGATGCTCCTTTAAGCATGCCTCTAACCTCAAGAACTGTTCACTGTGACCTACTTGTTTAGAAAGAATGAAGTTGTTTGAGCAATCAAGGCAACGCTGGTAGCAGGCATATGGAACCACTGGCTCGGGCAGGGAGTCCAGAAACAGCAGGAGTGCCTCGGCCATGGAGTGTACACTGCCAGCTGAGGTGTGCATGACGCTAAGGAATGTTCATCCACTCAAAAACTGAAAGACGCCAAGACATAATTCAAGAATTGTCGCCACCAATATACGTAGTAATTATATCTAAACATATAAGGATACGCAAGTGGCCATCCAGGCGTGCATCGAGGGCATCTCTTATTAGGTGCAGTTCCCAGCTGAGACCAGATTGCTGAAACAGGTCATCCTGGGAAACAAGAATAAAAAATAATCAGCATAAGCAGTACCTGACAAGTAACTGATTTTGGGGGACAAATCAACCTCTAAATATAAGTTCTGAAATGTTTTCTTTGTTTCTACATTACTGCATGTCAAAATAGCACACATACATACATTGAAATTATAATTGTAACCATGCCTAATGATTACTATCTTCAAAGCACACCAGTGGGTTGGATAATTGGTTGGCAACTACCATGCAGCAGTTTGCAGAAAAAAAAAATAATTTGCCGAGCATGCCATATTTAGCTGCCCAGTCATAACAGACCCCTTAAAGGCTTTCACTTTCAGCTAAATTGCATGCTTGCTTGCTCATTGTGTGCATTATGCAACAGAGACTTGATGCTGAGATATTGTGACTTTGAGCAATTGTGTATTATGCATGGGCTTAAAGCCATGTTAAGATGGAATAACAGGAGAAAATAATTTGGCTATAGCAGTAATCACATTCAGCTGTGACCACACACTTCCATTTATATTTGTTAACTGCGGAAGCGAATTGCTGAGAAAGATTACGCCAATGAAATGTATGCAGTGTAATTTCATTAGTACGATTCTATATAATTTTTTTAACTGTCTACTCTCGTAACTACGGACCATAATAATGTGGCAAAATGAGTCCGTATTATCAAAAGTCTGTAATATTCAATATTCAAACTTCGTGCACGTTGTCGCGTGGCTTTCGATTTTGCTCAGCAGTAAGGGGCAGGCTAGTTCTGCCGACACATGCTGAATACATTTGAAGGCATGGTTATGAAAGACAATCACCAGCAGCAGTTAATAACAAAACTGCAGTGTGAATTATAATTAATGAGCAAGTGCCATTACTGTAATAAATTAATGAAACTTCACTTCATAAATTTAATACACAGACCAAACATAGGCTGAGACATGGTCTGCTGTATCCAAAAGTGTGTTGTATGCAGGTCCATTATACTGAGTGTTGAGTGCATTATGCACTTTCTTTCCCTGGTCAAGACCTTAAAGGTGCATTGGATTTTTATACAACAGAACTTGTTACTGAGCAAGTTGATGCATTACTTGAGAACTGGTATAGTGTAAAGCAGACGGAGACGAAGCGGAGAATGAATCGACATACGGTTGACACTATTGTGCTTTTGTCTCAATAGTCATGACTGTGAAGTAGTATCTTTAAAACTTGTAACTTTACAATAAAGTGCACAAGGTTAAATTATACTCCAATGGCTCATGAATAACATGTTAAGGGCAGGACACACTAGCTAAAAAATGTGCGGTGTGCACTGGAAAAATGTGTGCCCTAAAAGCTGCCATGAAGCAGGTTTCTTGTGTCATGGGTGGACTGGTGATCAACCGATTTAAATTGTGCTGTGTTGGGGAGGTAAATGAGTTGCAATTGAAGGAGACTAATGGAGCTGCCCCTAAATGTTTGTATTATTTAAATGGAATACTCTGCTAGGTGCTATGCAGACTAAAACGCCTGCAGCCTTCTCTCCTGAGCTCACCTGGGTGAGCCCGTACTTGTGGAGGTGGTCGACCAGAAGCCAGAGCTCTTTGGGCACCTCAAAAGGCACTGCCAGGAGACCCTCTTCGCAGGGGCTCCGCTCCTGCAAAAGCCATCATAACACAAAGCACCAAGTGCATATGTCATTAAACCTTATAGATATTAATCTGGAATGCAATATTCACCTAAGTACAATGACTTGTAGATATAGTACACAGGCTATTTAGCGATTGCAGCATGTTAAATATTTCTTCTTTTTTCCTTCTTTCTAAGGCGTGTGACTAAATGCTATCACCCGACTAATGCTGGAGTTCCTCCACCTTCACTTCCTTCATTTACTGCAAACATCTGTTAATTATATTCCAATCTGCAATACGACCTGCTTCATAATACTATTATGTACCTATTTTTTTTTCTTCTGAGTTTAATTTATTTAGTTGATGTTTTGCATACATGCTGTGTTTGTACGTGCAACAGCATAAACAATGTGTACGTTCGCATAACTGATATATATATATATATATATATTTTTTTAAGTGATGTACTCCACCATGCTTTGTTTTGTTGCCTGCATTTGTCCTACAATATGTATGTTGTATTTCCACCCTGCTAAGATCCCCTATGGGAATCACAGTATCTGTAAATATATCAAGTAAATAAACCATACAGATAAGTAGGTACTGACCACCTTGAGCAGCTGTTCTCTGCCCAGCTCCCGTACAGGGCAAGGTATACGTGCCAATGCTTCCAAAGAGCAACCATAGCAACTTGGCTCATACTCTCCGGACACAGTCACGTGATTACAGACAGTCAAGGAAAACAAACATTTACCCATACATGATGCAGTTTTGGTGCAAATATTAGGAGCTGTGCGGGCAAGTTGGCTGAAGTAAAATTCATTGATATGTGGGGTACAACGTCCCACAGGCTGAGGAAAAAAATCGGCAAGGCTGCACAAAAATGTGTTTCCGTAAAACTAATGTGAGATCTCTTTCAAGTATGCATGTGCGAACATGAAATGCCAGGTTCAAAGCGAACAGTGATTTGGTCTAATGACTTCAAATCAACTATAATAGTATACATCACATATTATTAAAGAAAATTGCATATTTTTGTAACTTGACTAAGTTGTAGAATATATTTAAATTGAAACAAGGCATGTGCAAATGTCATTGTTTTTTATTCAATGGAAGTGGAAGCAACTTTGAATGGTACAT